AACCGCCCCCCCCTCTCTTTGGTATGGATGTCAATGTGGCTTGTCTGCTTGAGCGGTTCGTGGTTCGATAGGTCGGAATCCCATTTTGGAATGTCGGATCGAGTTCGAGCCACAAGGGCCATTTTGGGCTCGAGCCGAGCCGAGTCGAGTCGAGTTGAGCTGAGCCTAAGAAAAAAAAATTTTAAAAAGTAATCTACAAAACTTAAAAAAATAAAGTTGCATGCGTTCCTTGTCACTGTTTTTTGAAATTTGAATATGTATATGAAATATTTAATTTGTGTACAATTTTAATTATGCACACATTAATTGTAGTTGGTCCTAAACCCGAAAAGGAAGAGGGTTGTAACTTTTATTTAAATTATAATACGTATAAATTGAACAAATTTTAAATTACTTAAATTTGTTTTAGATTTGTCACTAATTAAAAAGAAAAAAAAATCAAACCGACTCGACTCGATTCATTAAGGCCCGAGCCGAAAGGTCTGGTCAAACATAAATTTTTTTGACCGAACTTTTGCTCAACTCGAGTCAATAAAAGCTCAAACCATTTTTACTCGAGCTAAGCCCGAGCTTCGAGTTTCAGCTCACGACTCGACTCGTTGATACCCCTTTATATATTCGGTCTAATTTATTGAAGATGTACACTAAACAATAAAAAAAAACACTTTTTCCGATCAACATATTTTTCTAGAATGTTTTATAACAGTATAAAAGAGAGATTCTTTCATAGTAAAAAGTAAAATAACAACAAAATCAACACCCTCTCACCCTTTCTCTATCGAGTTTGATAAATTTATAAATGATTCATAAAAAGAAATAATAAGAAAAACGATCATGCTACATGTACATAAATATTGATACATTGGTTTACATCCATGAGAGTTGACAGATTTTGATACATCGATCTTGATAATATCTTTTTCAATCAATTGCCAGAGTTTTGACATATAGAAGTATCAATCAAAGTGTACACTTTATGTGTACAAGTAGTTTAATTATTTTTGTACTTAAAAAAATATCACTATTTTATCCTTGTGTTAATGAAGAAAGTCATTATGTGTAAGGAGAGAATATGCTAATTAAAAATATAGATAGTATATAAATTTAGTCAGAGTCAAATAGTAATTTCAACATGATGTTATTTTATTATTTATTACTATTCACATATTTTGTGAGAACCACTTTAGTCATTTCTCTTAAAATTAAATTACTTGTACATCTTGATTGACAACATCTATGTATAAAAAATTTGACAGTTGATTTAAAAATGTTGTCCAAATTAATGTATTAAAATTTGTCAATTTACATGAGGGCGAATGAATATGTCAATTTTTATGTCCAAGTAACATAGTTCCTGGAAACAAAAGTGGGAAAAGGGTCTAATTCAT